TCCAAGCCGTGAGCCCGGCCAATGCCAGGCGCTGCATATTCGTCTTCCAGCACCACGTCGGCTATCGCGCCACTGGCTGGCGAAGAATTTGCTGCTGCGACGCCGAGCTAGCTGCAGTATCGGCCGGCAAGGCTGGGTGCAGCTGGTCGCATGCCCCAAGGCGAATTCCGGCGCGGGCTGGCTGATCGGGCAGGGAGAAGGAAAAAAACGGGAGAAAAAAAAACACGACCATCGGAGAAAAAAGGTGAATAGGTGTAGTCGTGGTCTTGCTTTCACATGGACAGCCGGAGGGGGTGAGGCTTTGGAGAGCGGGCGGCAATGGCAGTGGTTCTCTGCTGCGTCTTACTACACTGGCACTACTACTGCTATTATTACTTCGCTTCTCAATCGGGCAGGCACGCCTCGTGTGCACCTGCTGCGTTTCCAGTCGAATGGCGCGCCTCGCCTGCAGCTACCATGGTCGCGTGCACCTGCCACGCTGCTCGCTGCCTGTGCTGGGCGCCGCCCTCATGTCTTCTACCGCAGCGGAACCGTGGGACGCTCTGCCTTCACCGCCCCGAACTGGCCTTGTCCCACCATGTCGCTTTCAGTCCAGTCTTTGAACGGCGACACATGCTTCCTACTCACATTCGACCCACCGGCAGCCCCACTGACGTCGCCGGGGCTCTTTCCCGGCTCTTTTACGATTCTAGTTGACCGTACGTTAACCATGTGAGCTTCGCAAGTCGGCCAGACTGGGTCGTGGCAGCATGTGATGCATCGACAGAGGGTTGCTAACACTTCCGGTCACGGGCAGCCTGGCTTAGCGGACCCTCGATCATCCTCAACTCGGTCTTCTCCCACTCTGAGCAAAAGTCGAAGCCGTGCATCGCCAGTCTGCGCGAGCTTGACCGCGAGCCCGACCTCGTGCTTGTATCGCAAGACAAGCCCGACCATTGCCATGAAGCGACGCTGCGGCAGCTGCCCGCAGACACCGAGTCGACGATTCTGGCCATGCCCGCTGCGGCCAGGAAGATACGCGCGTGGAAACACTTTCGCGCAGAGTCGATACACGCTCTCCCGCGGTTCGTGCAGGGAGACGACGAGTCGCTATATCGCATTGTGCTGCCGCCGCCCTCGCCGCGAGGGACATGCGGCCAAGTCACGGTGACCTGGATGCCAGCGAAACGGGACCTGTCCAAGGTGCACCATGCTATTGGTATAACCTACAGGCCTCCCTGCACGGTGCTCTCATCGCTCAGCCCAACGCACTACATCGACCTTCCCATGAGCCCGCCTCCGTCGCCAGGAACTCCGTTGACGGTTGCATCGTCGCCGCGCACGCTGGTGCCGTCGCCGTTCAACAATCGCGAGAAGACGCTGTCGGTCATTTACTCGCCCCACGGCGTGTCGTACGACGTGATACGGCCATATGCAAGCTCGTACCTGGTGTCGGAATCAGCCCTACCTCTAACTGCACTCCTGCACTCGTTTGACAGCGTTGCAAATCCCTGGTGGCTCGGCGGCAACATATCCGCCGGGTCGCCGGGCGGCAGCGAAATTGCCAAGAGCCTGTACGCGCGAGCATGGATCTCTGCCCATGACGCAGACAAGGACAATCGGGGATGGGCAGTCAAGTTGACGCAGATTGCACAGCACGCGGCAGATGAGGTCAAGCAGATGCTAGACGAGGGGGTTGTGAGGAAGAGGGTGAGCAGCACGCAGGTGATTGCGCTGGCGCCTGGGGAGCGGCATCGGATTGCAGCAGGATGAGGGCTGGTGGTGTTTGTGTGAAGATGGAAGAGAAAAAAAAACAAACAAACAAAGCCGGTGTCAGCAACTGGCGCTGCAGTCGGGTCAAGAGAGGCCGAGAGGACAGGCGTGTTGATGCAGCGGCTTGGCAGGGTTAGAATCAATGGCAGCGGCTTGGATGGATAGCTGGAACGCTTGAAACAAGAGACACTTGGCCGACTTGTTTCTGGATACCAGCCACAGGACTCCACTTTTGGGAGGGTGTGGGCGTCGTAGGTAGCGAGGGCTGAGGGGACATCAGACGGCTAGGGCGCAGCAGAAGCAGCGGCGTATAGTTTGGGCCAAGGCGAGAGGGATATAATAGGACACATGGATGGGGTCGGTAGGTGGAGGATGGACCCTGGCGCAAATTGGAATGACGATGCAGCAGTGGGGAGAGGTTGTATTGTAAAGTACAAGTATGTAGCAGGCAGCGTGTACAAGTAGGTCCATGGACGTGCGCGGGTGCGGGTGCGGGCACGTGAGAGTGGGCGCCCACTTATTTGCACGGCGCCCCTTTCCCGTGCACCGCTGACGTGCAACACGAGGGCAGGCTGAGGATACATGAAGGGATGCAAGTGCGACAGTGGACGCGCAACAGAGACAGGCCGCGCGCGCTCGCACTCGGGGTCGTGCGGACGAAGATAGGACCAGGAGATTGGGGGCGTGGGGCTGCAGCGGCGTGCATATGTATGTGCGTGGATACATGGGCGGAGAGCGGGCGTAGCCAGGGTGACGGTGATTGGCGACCCAAGGCCCCAAAGCGGCGCAGACGGGGCCAGGGCGAGATGCGGCTCGCGCGTATTATAATTACCCGCCCCTCGGCGCGGCGGGCGTGGGCGTGGGCGTGGATGCGAATGTGAATGCATGGCTGGAGAAGATCGAGCGACGGATGGACGGAACGAGGCATTCATGCAACAACCGCCTCTCCGACAAAAAAAATGGAGGCTGCCTCTCCTGACGGCGGGCGCACGTGCGAGGCGTCGATAGTGGGAGGGGGGGGGACAGCGAGGGCGGCGGCGGGCGGATTGG